TTGAAGGGGAGAAGGAAGAAAGATTAACAGTTCACAGAATAGATTAAGCAGAGATTAGAAGGTTAACTATTGAAAAAAATTAATACCAATGATTGGGGTGGAGGAGGGGGGAAATCCCAGCTATGCTACAATGAGAAGGTAAACCCAATTCATTTTAGAATCTGAAGAAAGACAACATGATGAACAAGAAGAAAAAATACAGTGAATCCGAGTTAAAAGAGCAGTCATAATTGTTTTAAAATAATCCACACAGAGATCTAAAGAGTTAATGAAATGAATCAAATACACTTATTATGAAATTGGAACAAATTAGAGGCTAATAAATGGAAAGGTTAAGAGATGGGCTAGTAGTAGAATGGACAAGCTGCAATTAGATATGGAAGTCAGATACAGAAGTTCTGACATCAGTCTAAGGGGGATGATCTATGGAGAGATAGATGAAAGAGGAAGGAAAAAAGCTGAAAAAAAATCATGGCTGAAGGTTCTCTAACAACTGAATAAAGGGATGAGATATTAAAATGAATTATCAGGATACAATGAATAGTAACACCTGAAAACCATTATTAACAAGGCTGATCCAGTAGCGACCTGTAACAGTATGTACCCCATCAGCAGAGGAATGGATAAAGAAGATGGGGTACACATACACACTGGAACACTACACTTGCATTAAAGAGAATGAAATAATGTCATCTGCAGCAACATGGATGGACCTAGAGAATATCATACTAAGGGAAGTAAGTCAGAGAGAGAAAGACAAATACCATGTGGTATCGCTTATTTGTGGAATTTAAAATATGGCACAGATGCACCTACCTGCAAACCAGAAAAAGACTCACACATACAGAGGTCAGACGTGTGCTTGTGAAACAGGAGAAGGGGAGTGGGGAGGGTAGATGGGGAGTTTGGGGTCTGCAGATGCAACCTGTTATACAGAGGACAGATAAACAACAAGGTCCGATCATATATACCACAGGGAACTTTCTGGCATAAACTCTCATGGAAAAGAGTTAAAAAAAAAAAAAAAAAGAATGTATACATGTGTTTAACTGAGTCACTGCTATACCGCAGAGGTTGGCACAACATTATAAGTCAACTATACTTTGTTTCTAAAGTTCTACTTTTTAATTTAAACATTTCTAAATTAAATACATAAATGTTAAAGTCTGTACCCAAGAGAAGGAAGGACATTCCAAGTACAAGGGTGAGAAAGACAAAAGCGGGGACAGTGGAAGAAACACAGTGAATAGTGAAGGAGCTACCAGTAGTTCAAATGGGGGCAGAAAAGACTGCTTCAACACCTTGACCATCACTGAGAATCTCTTAAGATGATGCTTCATATTTAAACGTTACTGGATTTTAAACTTAGAATACTTGTTAATTAAAGCTGGGATAAGGATCCAGGCTACGGTCCATTACTCAGAATCAGTACTGCCTCACTTTGATCATGGAGTCAAATTGGTGACCAATTTTTAATAGGAAGGCTCTGATCATTACAAGAGTCTCTTCAGACAGAGATGGTTTATTTATAATTACTCACCATAAATGAAACTTGACTATATTGTTTAAAAAAAAAAACTGGTAAATTACACAAGGCAACATTCATTGGTTATAATGCATTATTTAGAAACCAACAAAGAAATGAGACCCCGAATTGTTACACCCAGACCCTGAAGTCCTTACATCTCATATTAGAGATAACTCATAGGTTAAAGAGGTAGTGAAAATAGAAATTACATATTCCTAGAACTAAATGATGCTGAAGGCACTACATTTCAAAACCTAACAGGACACACACTCAGAGGGGGGAAAAATGTATAGCCTAGGTTGCATATATTAGAGAAAATATTAAAAAAAACAAAACAAAAAACTAAGCTTTCAATTGGAGAAGCCAGAAAAAGAACCAAATATATCCACAAAATGTACTAAGAAAAGCAAATAGTAATGAAATGGAAGTAAGGATGAGATCAACTTCATTGCTTAAATTTTGTTAACAAGAGATACAACTTTGGAAAATGGTGAAAAAAGCAGAAAAGGCATAATTTATCATTGGGGAAGAAAAAAAATCTACCACTTAACTGTAGTCCTCAAATGTTTCAAAAATTGTTATTTAAGTGTGATAAGATGATGTTTATTTTTAAAGTCCTTATCTTTTGGAATTTTACACTGATTTATTAAGAAATCTGGGGTTTGCTCAAAACACATGTGGCGGAAATAGACATGAAACAAGACCAGCTGCAAGCCGATGATTGTTTTAGTTTAGTGACAGAGCCATGAGAGTTACTGTACTGTATTTTACTAACAGGTTAAAAATCATATAAATGTTTTAAAGGAAACGAAATAAACTTTTTAAACTATTTATAATACTATACCAATAAATTGTTAAGCCTACCTAATCATAATAAATGATACTTAGTGAACATATGGCACTTACCAGTCTCTTCTGCGCCCCCGACGTGTATCAGCTCCAGTAAAAAAAAAAAAAAAAACCCTCGTCTCCCAAGCTATGACCCCAATTACTTACCTGGATGTGCATTGTTTATTCAACCTCAAAATGGGGATATTAATAGTACCTGGATTTTTCTGAGGACTAAAATCGTTGGCACATATAAAGTACTTATAAGCCTGGTACATAGTTTTCAACCTGTCAAGGCCCGCTATGTTTTGACCAGGCTACGCCTCAGCAGGAGCATACGGAGAAAACATGTATTGTAACCTTGATTAAGAAAAGAGACAAAGCTAACACCAGAATGGGACAGTATAAGCCACTGTTGCATACTTGAATATGGGTACAAAGATCTGAAGAAAATGCTGTCAAATAAAACCCAGTGTGTTATATTGAAAGAATTACATACATCACTTAAAAAGATTCCTCCCAGAAATACACAGCTAGTTAAACGGTACCAAAAACTGCTCTCAGTGAATTCAGGACTTTAGGAACTTTTTAAAACTTATAGATGTTTGAAAACATACAATAAAATGACACCCATTCATGATCCCCATCCCCCAAAGAAAACACTCTTAGCAAACTGAAAGTCAAAAGCATTCTCTTTAACTTGTTAAATGTTACTTCTCAGATGCCTATAGAAATACTTTTACTTAATATTAAGAAAGTAGAAGCTTTACCATAACACAATATGGTACCTCTTTACAGTGTCAGAATGGAAGACTATTGATATCCTATCCAATGCAGTAAAAGCAAAAGATTTAAGAGGTATAAAAGAAAGACATAATTGGCATTATTGGCAGATGACGGTGCAGCCAACTAACCTAGAGAGGCCACAGATTATTAGAACTTAAATAAGTTCTACATGGCTGAATACAAGTGCACCATGTGAAACATCAGTAACTTCCCTACATATCCACCGAAATCAAACACTGATGTCCTAAAGAGAGGCCATTCTTTGGAGTAACAGAACCTACCTAGGAATCACCCTAAAATGACATTGGCAAAAACTATACAGAAAACTGGACTTTCCTGGTGGCTCAGTGGTAAAGAACCTGCCTGCCAATGCAGGAGGGTTTGATCGCTAGGTCAGGAAGATCCCCTGGAGAAGGAAATGGCAGTATTCTTGTCTGGAGAATCCCATGGACAGAAGAATGTGGTGGGCTATAATCCATGGGGTCCCAAAAGAGTCAGACACGACTTTCCAACTGAACAACAACATGCAGAAAACTATAAAATCTAATTGAAAACTACAAAAGACCTGAGTAAATGGAAAGAAAGATACGTTCATGAACAGAAAAACTCAAAAAGAGGTTTATTTCCACAGATCTACTTAAGATATTCAATGCAGCCTAGCCAAAATCCCAACAACTTTTTATATTCCTTGACAGTCCAATATCAGTTAATATAAGGTAGAATGGGATGAGGTGGGAGGGTAGAGGTGTATGGAAATGAGTGTACAAGTGAAAAATGCAAATACATACGTCCAAAGCCCTAAAAGTGAAACAGTAACTGTACCTCTAGCAGCCAAGACTATTGTATAAGCCTGCTTCATCAAGTATCAAGACTACTAAAACCCTATGGTAATTTAAACAACTGTGGGGAAATACAGGATGAAAAAACAGAGAAGCAGATTAAAGGGCCAAACTAGAGAGTTCAGAAATAGGCCTGTGTATATGAGAATTTGGCAAATTATTAAAAAGGCAACTTAAATCCAGGAGGCAAGAGGAGACTATTCACTGTAATATGCTGGCACAAGTGGTTATCTATTGGAAAAATCACTAAAAATCAGACCCCTACCTTACATCAAAACAAGAATAAGATTCCAATGGATTAAACAATTAAATGTAATGAAGTAGAAAATTGTAGGAGAATATTTTTTAAATACTGGGGTCAAGAAAGCATTTTGAAATGGCCTGATGAAAATACCTGCTACCCTCTCTAAGCCTTTTTTGTGCCTGTGTGTGAGGCAAACAGAAACATTTTTCCAAGAATTTTATAGAAGGTGGTCATACTTGGAAAGTTCCACTTCCATGCCAGAAATAATTACTAAATATGAAACTCACTGAAAATTTTCTGATTTGCCTTTTGAGCCATAGATTTCCATTTTTATTCAGATTCTGGAAGTTCAGTTTAGCCATTTGGAATTAAAAAAAAATTTTTTTTCCAGAGCTTTTTGCCTCTTTCTACTTGTCTCATAGCCTTCAGTTGAAATCCTCATGATATTTTTCCTATCACATTACCCAACTCCTCCCTCACTTCAAATCTTCTTACTGCCCTCGTTAAGTCTAATTTTGAACTTTTCAAATTAGACATCAAGTTAAATATCTGATAAACCAGTCTCAAAAGAGGCCACATTTATAAACAAGTGTCACCTTTACGCTAACCTTAAAATGTCTCCTCTTCTCAGCATTTCATTCATTTCTGAGTTCTAGAATAGGTATCAATACAGTCTCCCTAGCTTCGCTAGAAATACGTGAAGGTGACTTCATTCCAACATGTTCAGTCTTTTAGCGATTCTGAAATGGCCTTTTCTTTCTTCTGCCTCCCCAAGGTACGGCGCAGTCTCAGCAGGAATGCTGTGTGCTCTTACCACCTTGTCCCAGCAACTGGAGAATGAAAATGCCGTGGATGTTTTCCAGGTTGCAAAAATGATCAATCTGATGAGGCCTGGAGTATTTACAGACATTGTAAGTACTGTGTTTATTTGCAAAACTTCTACAACATCAGCTGAAACTCAGCCTTAGCCTGTACAACAGCAGTTCTCAATGGGGGTGAGGGTGGAGTAATTTTGCCCCCAGGGGATGTTGGGCAGTGTTGGAGACCCTTTCTTAATGATCACCACTGGGGATGGAGTTAGGTGAGTGGAGCCCAGGGACACTGCTAAACATACCACAACACCTAAGATGGCCCTCTACAATAAAGGATTCTCTGGCCCACACGTCAAAAGTGCTGAGCTTGACAAACTCTGCTTTCTAGAGTATATAGTGTTTTCTGATGATAAAGTACAGATTTCATATTATCTTAGTGGACCATCAACACTGAGAACTCATTCCAAGGGAAGAGAGATGAAAAGGACACGAAGCAGGTGTAGGTTTTGATCATAAAGGATTCCACAGATGATTTTGTAAGTTTCTTAAAGAGTGTAGACATATTCCCGTGTCTCTAGTGTATTTTTCACAGTTACATTTTTAATCAGTATTTTTACCTGCAGTGAAATGAGATGAAGCTGTTCTTTGGCTCCAAAACCATCTTCCTCTCATTTTCCAGGAACAGTACCAGTTTGTCTACAAAGCGATGCTCAGCTTGGTCAGCACTAAAGAGAATGGAAATGGCCCCATGACAGTGGACAGGAACGGCGCTGCTCTCACCGCGGACGAGTCGGACCCTGCCGAGAGCATGGAGTCGCTGGTGTGACTGGAATCGTGAAAGAGTGCTTCATTTGTAAACCTTCTGAAGACTGAGAACTTTTTTGAGGCCTTTTTTTTTGCCAGACTCTAGGTCTAGGTTATATGATAACCCAGTTACTTTTTTACACTGATAAAAGTTTTGATATTTATTTTTTGCCATTTTATGTCTTAATGGTATCCTACTGAGCATATGCACCTCTGTTCATTTCCCACAGTGAAACGCGGTTTTACCTAGTTTGCACTATCTGATCAGTGTTACTGCCTATAATCTGATACTAAAGCAAACCCTGACGTGACATTCCACGACACCATACATGCTACTTTTTAATTCAGTATAGTGAAGGTCTTTGTTAGGACAGTGACTCTTGATTTTTTTTTTTTAATTATGATTAGTCTTGCTAAAGCAGCTGCATCCTCCTAGCAGGCAATGCTGTCCTTTTCCTCAGTCCTCTCCTATTTTTTAAGGCACTGTTCAATACTTCTGTATGCCTTCTGTGTTTTAATGGAGTGGATGAGCACTGTTTTCTTTTAAAGAATAGTGGGGTGGGGGGCTACTCTGAAGGTCTGTCAATGTCATGGCCTTGAGAGAGTCCCGTTTGTGATGGGGAAGGTGTCCATGAAGAAACAGAAGGTTTAAGACTCATCTGATGTGAACATCACTTCTTAGTTTCAAAGTTATATTCCTGGCTTTAAAAAATGCCCAACTGTGTCAAAATAAAGGATATCTCTGTATTACAGTTTTCACAGTAGCTATGTGGACAGTGTGTGTTATTTCCATTTTGATTCTCTCAAATAGTTACATCACTGCCCCCGAAATCAGGGCCATCTTTTACAAGAGATGGCAATATTTTATGTAACTCCAGTTATAATTTCATACCTCTTGGCAGGTGGAATAATGCAAATCTTGGCAGGTGTGTAATTTTGAAAGTAGTCATGGAAAACATTCCTATTACTCATATAGCAATCTAATAAAAAAACTACCTATAGAGTTAACATTCTTATATTCTTTTCTTTCCTTTTTTTTTTGGCCAAATATTTCATGATAAAGTTCATTAATTACATGCATTCTTCTATTTAAACTGAAAATATTGTATTAATTAGCAAAAAGTCTTGGGACTATCTAGGTTCCTCCACATGGAGAAATCTGACTTGGAAAGAGACAATTAGAATTTTGAGTGAAAGGTAACAGTGACATTTTCAAAGAGTTCGTAACCGTAGGAGACAGCTTTGTATGCTTTTATGTATTCTAGCCTCAAAAACAGGTTCACTTCAGTAAAAGAGACTGCTCATAGGGACACAGAGCCCAAGGTGGTCATCTCCCAGAGCCATATTCACCCTGCCGTCCATCATGGGAAAATCAGGAGCGCTCACAAGAAATTTCAGTTCAGCAAGTTAGAAAGATAAGCTACTTACTGAGATCCGTTTCTTCTGCTGCATATTTGCTTTTGAGGGGTGACTTCTGTCAGAAGTTAAGCCATCACCAGGACTGAGCCTGTGAAGAGGAAAAGGGTTTTGGTTATTTTTATTTTTTTATGTCAATAAACATCAACCAGCAGGTCACACTGGCTATGACCATACTGTCTGGCTAGGCATTAAAACATCTGTGATAAGCAGCACTGAGATTGTTTATCCTGAGTTGGTTTTCTATGAAGTTTGTCAGAGTGGAGCTGAAAGGACCAAAGCTGCTGAGGCCTCCTGGCCCGGGATTTCTAACACGCGGGCCAGGTCAACCATATTTTCCTAAACGACATACCTTGCCAGGATTCCTCTCATCTTCCCATCGCGCAGACTCGGCCACACGGGGTAGTCCACCATTCACGAACTGTGAGGGCTTGCTGGAGAGAGTGTGGCCAGGTGAGCCCAGTTTCCTCAGCTGTTATGTGGCGGAGGACACAGACACACTCACCGTCCCTCCGCTCCCGTCAGAGGTGACGTGCGGAACCTCTGCCTAACACTTGAGGGAAAAACCCTGACCTCCCGAACGCTACCACGACCGGCTGGCTGAGGGAGATCAGGAAGGGGAAGGTTTCAGCCTGGTTTCACCTCAGCACCGCAAGAGCCAGGCCACCGCAGTCCATTACGGAGGTCGCTTCCACTGTACGGAGTGCTGACGTGAGCTGACTCTTCTCAGTAGGTGGCACGGGGGGGACCTGACTTTCAGAAGTAACGTTCAAGTTGGGATTTGTGGTCCCTCTGTAATTTTTTCAGACACATGGCAAGTATTCCCTCCTGGGCTACTTTTGTTTTCAGTCACTCACTCGTGTCCACCCCTTCACAACCCCATAGACTGCAGCCCGCCTGACTTCCCTGTCCTTCACCATCTGTGCTATTACAGAGGGTCCAATTCATGGAAATTCCTACCCTCCAATTCTGTGACCATCTCTTCCATGGGTATCAGAATCATGGTAAAAAAGAGAGAGAGGTCGGAGATAAAGCAGAAACATCACAATGATGGCTTAGAATTTCTCTGTGAGCATTCGAGTGTCTGTAGTAGGCCTGAACCAAAGTCTACAAACCCTAAGCCACTGAACCACAAGCAACTGCTGTTTGCCCATCTTGCCAAAATGGCCCAAACACACTTTGTGGAGGATGATTATAGTCAACAGTTCCTCACTTCTGTATAGAGTGTATCCTATTATTCTTCATATGGCATTGGCAAATATACGCTTGTATCTTTCCAGAGGCAAAGAGTTTCAAAGATGGTGTTTTCTTTGAGACAGAAGCACATTGCTTAACTAAATAACAAAGTTATTAGCTCATGCACTCAGGAAGCAAGGAAATAGCTATTGCAAATTACTGTGTGCTATGTTAGAAAAATAAGCTTTTAGAGTGTGTGAGTTCTAGGTAAGCAGAAGGCACACATTCAAAATGAACTGCAAAGATCAAGACAAGCGGCCATGCTGGGCATCAGAGAAAACACACCTTGTTGCCACCAAGAACCTTACCTGCATCTAAAAGTTACAGTTCTGTCTTTCATATTTAAAAAAAGGTTTCCTTCTGAAATTCAGGATGATTAAGATGAGGTGAACTGCTTTTCCTAATTTTTATGCCTTGGAGCTTTCAGAGTCAATTTCAAGCTGCAAGGTCAGAGATGTTTATGGCATTTAGGGTCTGGTGGCTGGTGGTTTTAGCCCAGAGTGACGTACTGAAATCAACAGATAACCTTAATTATTTTATAATGACACAGCACAACTGCCTTGTTATGAATTTTCTTAAATGCATATATACTGTATTTAAAACTTAAAATATAGATAACCAATTTACCAAAGACACATACTAATTGTAAGCAAAAAATTTTAAGAAAGAAACCCAAACTCATCATAATTTAGGAAATAATAATCAAAACGTAGTTTGTCTTAAGAATCTAGCAAGTTATATTGGAAAATGCATTTCCAACTCCTGAGTCCTAAAGTTTATGTTCAAATGGTGCCAGTGAATTTTTATATGAAGGGAAAATGCCTGCTTTTTTTTTTTTTTTTTAAACAGCTGCAATCTCACTTGCCCCTTCGCGCTTGCCCATAGCTGCCATCTAACATACAGTACTGGCTTCACTTATCTCTAGAAAGAAGGCATGCAGCAAACCAGAAGGAGCTGTAAGAATGGTATTTGGCCTCCACTTTGTCTTAGCTGTTAAACTGTTTTTAGTATTTTTGTTAAATATTTGCAAAGGGAAGCATTTTCTACAGAGGATAATTAATTTCAAGAAAAATAATCTTGCGTTTTAAGAAATAAAACATCTCCAGAAAAGGAGACAAACGATTTTATAAAATGTCGCAACTCTCCAACATTTGGGGTAGTGACTCCTTTTTTGTTAGGACATTTGAAACTAGCAAGTAGCCATTGTTTCTTAAAAAAAGAAAAAAAAAATTCAGCCTTTGTGTGGATTCATGTTTCTTTCACTTCATTTTGAAATAGCGAAAATCATTAAAACTGTAAATATTTTGTTGCTTGGACAAGCATCTTCTGGGAACTTTGTATCTATGGTATATAATCATAGAATTTTATATTTTCATATAAAGCTAATTTTTTTCTAGTTTCAATTCTGTCATAGTTTTTTTTTTTTTCCTTTGTGGTGGATATGTGAATTCAACTTTCTGTGTATTGAAGTAGCAAGAACCATCTTTGCATTCCAAAAGAATCCAACATGTGTTACTTCTTTGAGGCAGTGATTGTGACAGTTGGGTTTTCTTTTTTAATTTCATTGACCATTTGTGCAATAGGAATTAGACATAATTAGTCACACTGAATACATTTGTTGCATTGACCCATTTGGATAAAGTGCTGTTTTTGTTTTTTTTAATTTGTTCGGGGGGAGGGGTTTTGTAACCTGAAATTTTTCCCTTTTTTCTTCTGTTTAAAAGTATATCAAATCATTCTATTATAGTGTTATTTAATATGTAAATTGTATTGCTATACATAAAATAAAGTATGGTTTTTGATGTATTCATTAGTGCTGAGCATTTCTAAGAAAATACCTACATCCAATAATATCAGATTACTCGTTTCTTTTAATAGGTCACATTTATACACACAGACCCTTGGTCTTAGTTTTCACGGTAGTAAATCATTATTAGAAGTCATCTTCACAGAGGCAGAAAACCACAGAAATGTCTTTTCTGAGTTCTTCCTCCTTTAAAGAGTAAACAGTAATATTTTACCTGCATGGCAAATGAAACTTTGCTCACTTTATGAACCTCATGCTAAATTATAAGTAGAATTATTGTCTTATCCAGGGTATCAACTAGATTTGGAGCAACTCCTCCCTCTAAACATTTACTTTGTCAGCAAGACTTCAGGAGGATCTATGAAATACATACATAAGATCCTGTAACTCCTACTGAGCAGAAATTTTGCCATCTCCAAACACGAGTCCCCAGCTGGGCAGCTTGGGTCCACCACTGTCTGAACTTTGAGCAGCACTACATCAGGAATTCAAGTCCTCACTGTGGCTCCAATTTTTCTTTCCAGCAAGATAAAGAACTGATGGTTCACTCTCCGAAAGTAACTGGGAATTTAACAAGCAGCACATTAATCCTTCTTGTAGTACCGACAATAACAATCAGCACCGAAGAATGAAACTCTCTACTGATGTGACCCTTTGAGTGCGTGCTCAGTTGCCCCATCGTGTCTGGCTCTTCGTGACCCTATGGACCATAGCCTGGCAGTCCGTGGGGTTCTCCAGGCAAGAATACCAAAGTATTCTTCCTTCCCCATTTCCTTCCCTAGGGGCTCTTCCCGGCCAAGGGACCGAACCCCCATCTCCTGCATCTCCAGCACTGGTAGGTGGATTCTTTACCACTAGCGCCACCTGGGGAGCCTGGTCTTCCTCAAACACCCACAGGGACTCAGTCCTCCCTATCACACAGTATACCAGTGGTCACCAACTGTTGACCTGTAGATCATATTCACTCTACAGATACATTGAGGCCATCATCTTTATCACAGTTATCAGTTTCCAACATCTAAAAAGTGAAAACATTTTACAGTAAGATTCAGATTTCAAGCTCTTTTCGAAAACGCGCGTGGTGTCACAGCCCCAGGCTCCTGTTCTCACTGGAGCGTCATGAGCCGTGGAGGCGGCGCTGCTGCCCCTTTTAGGTGATGCGTGTTCTCCCCAGTTCACCAGCGCCTATGCCTGTCCCACTACATCAGTCTGCCCATCACCAGTCTACCTTGCCTGGATCCTCCGAGCAGCTGCACATGAATTTTCAGACCATCATATGCCTCAGGCTGGTAAATCATCAACCAAAAGGATCAGAGAAGGATTTCTACTGGTCTTCCATCATTAAAATAACAGGAAGCCAGCAAGAGGCAAAGAGGTGTTTTAAGAGGCAGGAGGTATGACTGTTCAAAATAATTAACAAATCTATTCTCTACTCCACGGCTTTTAAAGGAAATAAACCAAGACAAGAAAACTTCATTTTTGTTACAAAGAATGGGGCAAAGAAACGAGGGCCAAAAGCCACTGGTCCAAAACCCCATTTTCAAACAGTTACATTAGATGTTGAGCACATGAATATTTAGAAACAAGTCACTACTAACCAAGTCTAGATTCAGAGACAGAATTGAAAGCACTGTTTTTATATTTCTGCCTGTTTTGGTGAAATAACATAAAGGTACTAGAAAATGACAGGAACTAGAAACCAAGAACCAACAAGGTAAAACTGACTTTTGTGATCACGAAGTTTGGCCGCAAGAACAGGCCCACAGTTCATTAGGATCTAACAACTATATTTGAACTGTGGTGTGGAGAAGACTTAAGAGTTCCTTGGACTGCAAGGAGAGCCAACGAGTCCATCCTAAAGGAAATCAGTCCTGAATATTCACTGGAAGGACTGATGCTGAAGCTGAAACTCCAATACTTTGGCCACCTGATGCGCAGAACTGACTCATGTGAAAAGACCCTGATGCTGGGAAAGATTAAGGCAGGAGGAGAAGGGGACGACAGAGGGTGAGATGGTTGGATGGCATCACTGACTCGATGGACATGAGTTTCGGTAAACTCCGGGAGCTGGTGATGGACAGGGAGGCCTGGTGTGCTGCAGTCCATGGGGTCACAGAGTCAGACACGACTGAGCGACTGAACTGAACTGAAAAAGAGAAACAGATGTTTTTCTCGTAGGGCTGCTACAAGGAGTGAATGAGAAGTTCTTGAGAAAGTCAATGAATACTAACTTACATACCTAGCCTATTAGTTTGCTTTAGTTTTAAAAAATTGCTTAGCAAACCTTTCTTCAACCATGAAATACAAAGTCAACTACCTTCGCTTACCCAACTAACAGTAGTGGTGAGGAATTTCCTTCACTGGTAAGGAAACGGAGCACTTCAAACCAGATCAAGGAATGATGGGGACAGAACTGGATGGTGAGCGTGACCCAGACAGCTTCCTGTCCAAAAACGGGAGTGGCAGAACAGATGGTCACGGTGCCCGAGCCTGAGTGTCTAAGCTTCT